AGGCTTTTAATCTCTAAGTTACAATTTCTTACCGCCTTTCACCAGGCAAGAAAGACAGTGATGCAACTCACACGTTGCAATCCAGTACCACATGAATATCAGTTTAAAATTCAAAAGCAGGGGACTTTACCACTGCATCCTTGAGCAACAATTTCACCTTCCACTGAAGCAGTAAGTCCAGCCTGAATTAATTACATGTGCAAAGAAATACGATAACATGTTCTAACAAGGTTTCAGTGGATGTACAACCATTTCATAATAACGTCTGAACTAACCTTAATAATTTATGAACATCAAGGAACATTTCTGGGGGAAAAAAAAATAATGGTCAAGATACTCCACTATACAGTGAGCACCTACAGACAGCACTGATAATAAAGCAGACTGGACAGGATCATACTCAGAAACAACCAAAAGAAAAACTTCAAAATTTAAATATGGGTTTTATTAAAAGAGACAGCTGTTGGGGAATTGTTCTGGGTAATTACAGGAATACAATTCAGTATTAAGGGTACAGGAGGAAAGTAGACCTATTCATGTTAACACAGTAAGACAGCAAACTTAAATACACATTTTTTTGGTTTTTTTTTTAAATTGTTCTAAATGGAAGAATTAATATTGATGTAGTTATAAAAAACAACATTGGAAAAAGAGACCTACAGCTACACAAAACAATCAGATCTGCTGGGTGAAGAAAATCAGGATACATTCTGCAAAATGCAGATCGTACCTCAGGTTAAGTAAAATGTATGAGGCACAGGCCTTCAGCATAACCAGAGACGTCAGAAAGGAAATCAGGGGGAAAGCAAGGGACTGCAAAAAAAAACTTTCAGTGTGATAGGACCAAAGACCACACAGAAGCCAGAAATTCAACCAAGCAAATATCCCCACTGGTCAGGGCTTTCCTAACGCAATATCAAAGCAACTGAACTCCTCTGCGTACAAAGATTTCAAGAGTTATTCTGTGAACAGGAATTGTGCTAATGATGTTAGATCTGTCTTTCTTCCTGCTTTTCCTGGCTAAAACTGAGACAAAAAGTTTTAAAAAGGTGATACCTAGAAGCCACAATGTAGATGAAACTAGTACTAGAAATTATGAAAGCCTAAGTCAGCCAGTATGAATTAGCAGGAATTTTTATCCTATACTGCAAATGAAGCTTTGCGACTGACTTTACCTCAGGAAACATAAACATGGCTCACTATTCATATATTTGACACTACAAACGTTTTAAAAGCGGGATCTTGAAAAAGGAAGCAGACTGCTCTTCAGACTCGTTCGGGTATACAAACCCTTTATCACACCCCAGATCTCTTTTGGAGGAAAATTTGGAGCTGCAAGTTTGTCTGTGAACTTAGGCTCTCAGGCATACTGTTAACGCTCGAAGGTGCTTCCTGTACTTCCACACATCTAATTTTTATTGTTAGTGCTCTTTTTCCCTAAATCTTTGAGACCACCTTTTGCCAATTTGTTTGGAAAATGTTTCTGCAGGCTTCTGACGTAAGAAAAAAAAAAATCGCTTGCTTACACCGATACAGTTTCTTTGGGTACAATCAAAATCAGAGTGTAAGAGAGTTCCTCACCTGTAAATACAGCAAGTATGACAGGCTTCCTGGAGCCATTGTATGCCATATCCCACTCCACCAGTCGCATGCAAACACCAGATCCTTGTTTTGTAGCCTCTCACTCTAACAAGATTTAAAATTCTGCCTTCCAGAAGATGATAAAGTTAAGCTGAGAGAAGCGATTCTGAATCTTCTGGAGAACACGGAGGGAAGGTATGAATTTTAGAACTTCAGTGGGAAAACATGCCATCAGCATTTCAGAGGTCTGTATAATGTAATCTTAGACATTAATCATTCTTTCCAGAATATGGCATAGAATCTTCCATTTTCTAGTCTTGCCTTTACTCACTTTTCTCTGTAGTCAGTGGATGATCTCGGAAAATATCCCTATTATACGAAACTGCCTTTATCCCACATCAGTTGCAAACCCAAAGTCTTCTGGCATTTTACCAAGAGTTCACTGAATTTCATTCCCTGGAAAGTTCAGGAACACTGCTGCTCAGCCTTTCTCCCACACATCTTGATGAGAAATTGTGTATTTCCATGGTAAGACCTACCCTGAAGTATTAGAGCAGAAAAGAACAACCTGCTTTCACTGAAATCCCACCTTCTTGTTGGCATTTCATAAAGTGAAACCAAGAGGTCACAGGTGTCAAAGGGTTTCCTTCACTAAGGATGAAAAGTTGTGCTGCAGCTGCACACAGAAAGGCTGAGGAGCCTGGCTGAAATGAGGGCATTTTCCCCTAATTTAAGAAGTTAAGATATATGGAGCCAGATGCGATAAGGCCACAAGGTCTGACCATGCAAGGAAGAAACTGAGTCAGGCAGGCTCAGGATTTAAATCTCAATCATATTCATAATCTTAACACAACACAAACAATAGCAAGGTGTCAGTAAATTAGAGGACTGCCTGTGTGCACGTTTACAAACTGATGAAATATTCAGAAGTACTTCAAAAGCACATGAGCAATAACAACTATTTACAGTTGTAGCTCTAATAAAAAAATGGAGCACACTATTTATGGAAGGCCAAACTTAGTGGTTACAAGAGTAAAGGTACCATTTTCTGTTGCAGCTTCAGTCAAATTACACTCTCCCCTCCCACAAAAAAGTCTTTATTTTCCTTCCTTGCCTTTAGCCACAGCCCCCAGTCTTCTGTGCTAATTCTGACAGTTCACTATTCTTGTAGCAGTGCAAATCAAGTCAATAAAAAGTGAAAAGCTAACATGCCAAACCAAAAAAAAGTGGGGTATTTCAGAGAGGGCAAGGGGGAAAAGTTCAAGAACTGAATCGTTTCTGTTACCAGACTAGAGCAAACACAGGGCAGAGAAAAGAAGGCATGGCTAAGGATGTAGGTGATCTTTCACCGTGTGGTGGCAAAATTGACTCAACTGTGATATGAGGGCATTTTGACCGTGGAGACCAGAACCCCTTACAATCTACATTCCAATCTGAACGTGTACCAGCAGAACACGTGTTATTCTGGTGATGTGTCAGCACTGATCCTCACACAATGAGTTGTAAGGTTTTGGGGGCTTGTTCAAAGGGAAAAAGGTAAGATAATTTCTCACAAATATCAAGTCTAGCAAGTCACAATTACACTGAAGCACACTGGGCTTCACCCCAGAATTCCTTTTTAAGTTTCAGACAGGAGGAAAGCTGTAATTGCTTTCCATCTTCTGGATTCAGTAAGACCTGGAACACCACACTTTTCATCATGATAGATGATGTGGTATTGCCTGACTTTGGGGAATTCCAAGAAGACAATGTAAAATTCTGGAAGTATTAGGTTCATAATAGTTTTAGTGCATCTGAGTGTAGCAAATGTGTATGTACTGTGGGTATAAGCAATAAAGAAACAAACTAAATACCAAGATACCAGATTAGCTTTAATTAATGTAGTTTTTGTTCAGAAGAATTCCCTAAAGCATCCTGTGAGAAAGCAAGCTGTATCTCACAGGAAGTGGAAGGCAGGAATGCAACTCCCATCATGCCTTGTTGCTCCCAGAAAGGCATGTGCTCCTCTCCCAAGCACATGGCTCTGCCCTCTCTGGTGCCAGCTCTGGCACTCACTGGACCTCCCCGTGTACCAATTTACAGCACTAAAAGGCAGAAAAAACATGTTTCCTTTTTTTTTTTTTCCTCCTTTTTACTACGTTTTTCAACAGTGTAGTGCGTTAGTTGAAAAGTCTGATGAGCAACAGAAGCAGCAGGTATCAGAGGATGACACTGCACTGGAACAGATGAAAGAAGGAATGCCACCTTTTGTGGACGAAAAATATTAAACCACCTATACTTCATGAAAATGTACCTTAGCTGTGCACTGCTGAACACCCTTCTCAGGGTGACAATCTTCCTCATTCCTTCTGAGCCACTTGGGATGGCACAAGTGTGATAGCTGGGCCCATTTAACATCAACAGCTTGGTGCCAGTAGGATGTAATGGTCACCTATTTCCCAGGGAACCAGAAAGCTTGGGAGGCCAGAAGAAAACCAATGTACAAAGAAATGATAATAATAATAATAAAAAAACCACAAACAAAAACCCACATACAAAACAAACAAACACAAAAAAAACCAACCAAACAAACAAAAAAAACCACCTTGCTGACCTGGAGAAGTGAATAAAGTGAATAGTTTCACCGTATGGACTCAACCCACAGCCAAACCTGGCAAACAGGAATGAGCAGGATTTGCCAGTCATCTACTCCTCAGATGTCCATAATCCTGCAACTTCCTTCACATTACAAACTGTACAGATTTTGACAGCAGACTAAGCTTTAAGGTTAAGCAAAGAGAGCCCTTTTTGCTGTCTGCACAGCTTCCCATTCCCTACCCACTTTTAATGTGTTGAGGTTTAAACATGGGACTGTGTAGGCTTCTGTAGGGCACGAGGAGCTCAGCAGTCCCTCCTAAAACACCAAACCACACAAGACAAAGAGGCAGCCCCCACAGACAGCGCAGGAGGGGCGGCGGGCGGCGGTTCGGAGCCAAGGCGAGCAGGGGGCCCAGACGGACACACGGTGCGGGGCGCACGGACGCCGCGGGCCGCTCTGCGGCAGCCGGGCGCCGGGCCGGGGGCCTCCGCGGGCCGCAGGCACCCCCGCGCTCCCCGGGGCCGGCACTGACCTGGCGCCGCTTCCAGCTCTTCCCGGCTCCGGGCGGCGCTTCCAGCGGCTCCGCCACAACGTCACCGCCGCGCGCGACACCGGCCTCAGCGGCGCCCGCCGCGCCTGCGCGGCACCGCCCCCTCCCCCTCACGGCGAGACCCGGCGGCGCGAGCGACAGCGAAGTGAACCAATCGCGCTCCCGCACGGCCCCTCGCCTTCCCGCCCTCACGCCAGCTAAACCAATTAGAAGTCAAAGACGCGCCGGGGATAGAGAGACAGCCAATAGGCTGAGAGCAGCGGAAGGAAGGCGCGCTGCGATTGGCGGACAGCTCCGTCTCCGGGAGTTGTTGCTGGGCAGGGTAAAGATGGCGGCTCTGGACAGGGTCAAGGTGCTGGTCCTGGGCGACTCCGGTGAGTCCCTGTCCCCAGGCCGTGTGCCCGGGGCTGCTCCTGGGGACCCGCCCCTCGTCCGCTTCCCCGCCACCAGCTGAGGGGCCGGGACCGCCCGCGCTCAGTCGGCGCTGCTGCCGGCCCCGTTGCCTGTAACCCCGGCTCCGCCTCCCAGGAGTTGTTCTCTCTCTGTGCCCTCGCAGGTGTCGGAAAATCTTCACTCGTTCATCTGCTGTGCCACAACCAGGTCCTGGGAAACCCGTCCTGGACAGTGGGCTGCTCCGTGGATGTGCGAGTAGGTGACGTGCCCGGCCCCTGGGTAGCCCTGAGCCCGCAGTGTAAGGGAAGAGAAAGGCCTGGACTTTATTATTTTATTTTCATTATTTCCGCCACAGAAAGAGGTGTGCTTTGATGGTGTGATTTGGGGAGACTTAATCTTTCAAGGCAAATAGCATCATATGTGAGCCAAGCACTTGTGTGAGCTTGTCAGAGTCACACCGGGTATTTGTCACTCATAGCCCCTGTCCCCACTGCAGTGGCCACGGGCGAGTTACAAGTCACAGGGCGGCCAGTTGAAGTCAGAAGGCACAGAATCCCATTCAACTTCCCTGAGAAACAGGCAGTGCACAGCCACGTGGTCAGCTAAACATACTGGGGAAAAACAGTTTGCTGGTTTAGGTTGTGGGCACTGACTGTGACACCAAAAGGCTGCTTCTCCCCCTGACTCCTCACTGTAGGACCTGCTGTGGGAGGAGTGAGGATATTCATCCAGCAGTTTTTTGGCCCAACTTACAGCCCTCATGGGACATTGATAAATGCTTTTTTTCCTTCACCATTCTCTGCCACATTCTCCTTGAAACACTTGCCCTAGATTAGGAATATATTTCCAAAATTTGGAAAGCAGCATTCCTGTTTGGCTTTGGAGGAGAACTGCCAGGCAGATCCAGGGGCAAAAGCTGTGGGTTGATTAATTCAAATTGATTAGTTGAGATGTCAGTGAGAATTTGGAGAGGAAAGAGATGTGGTCAGTTGGAATCCAATGTGGTTGCCTGTGTTAATAGTCCTGCAGTACTACGATGTGGGTTTTAACAACTGTAAGAAGTCAAGACCTTAATTTTTCATTTCTTTTTAGCAACATGCTATTTCCAAGCACGTCATGAAGCGTTAGGTTTGCTCATACTGAGATGGAAATGGTACTCCCTGCTTACTCACCAAGCTCCATCTCCTGTAGGAGCTGTGGTATCCAGGGGCTGCTGCTTGACTCATTCCATCTCTCTTCGACTTGAGAGGTTTGAAATGGTGTCATCATGAGAATTTACAAATTTTCATCCAAGTGCAATAATCCTTCCAGCTGCATGTGTAAGTGTCATGAGGATTAACTCCTGTGAGTTGGTGCTGTGGTTATGTATTATGTGAATTTTTCATCAGATCCATGACTACAAAGAAGGGACTCCAGAAGAGAAGACTTACTACATTGAGCTGTGGGATGTTGGAGGCTCAGTGGGTAGTGCCACTAGTGTGAAAAGCACACGAGCAGTATTCTATAACTTGCTAAACGGTGAGTTTGCTTGGTGTAAATCTGGTTTTATTACTGTTTCTCTTAAGAACCGTCTCTTGGTTCTGGGGCAGGGTTCCTTGTGGTCTGGCTGAGGGCCATATTGTTCTCTTTTCTGATTTATACAGGGGAAAAAAACCTGATAACATTAATAGGCAGAATTTTATGGATTCCGTTTTGAACTCTAGAGATATTTTAGGCGAAGCTGTGCAGATGAGCTTCATCAGCCTTTCACTTCAGTCTTGTGTAGCTGGCACAGCAGGGAGTCTTTGAAGATACAGTAGTGTCCCTTCCTGCTACACTTGCAGACATAAATGTTACCTTCACCCTTCCAGGCCTGAGTAACTGCAGAAATGTTATATTTTCCTGTCTGTTCAGTTGCAAAACCTACAGCAGGGAAATGATTATTTGTGTTTATGTGAACTTTGATTCTTGCATCCTACTTTGGCAAATTTGAACTGCCTTCCATAAAACTGCAATATGCTGATAACTATCCTGCCTCTGCTCATTTAGTTTAGCATTATAATTCATTTAGTTAGATTATTTTTGAGAATTGAATCTTGCAACTTGCTGCATATTTAGAAAGTAGTATTTTATGTCTTCTTTTGAGATAGTGACTTAAAGTCCTATTAGTTAATTTCTACCACTAATTATGAGCAAATAGAAGATTATGAACAGAACAATGAAGTATTTGAATTCTTCCTTTTTTGTCATCTGAGGATAGTTCACTACAGATAGATGTATATCAGATTAACAACTGCTTCTGAAAATCTGTCTCAAATGTTCTGTTTGTTTCTCTTTTCTTGTTCCAAATAATTTGAAGGCCTTTCAGTAACATGTTAAACCACACAATAAATATTTTTGATCTGTGATCAACTAGTTCTGTCCTCCTCCTTTCCCAGGAGGAAAACTGTTTGTAGGTACCCCCTGCTTATATTGTTAACTGGTCCCCTGTAAATAAGGCTTGAGTTGAATTGTGCCCTCAAAGGAAGCCTCTTCAGGTATATGAAGAAATGGATTTATTTTTAACACCAAATCCACAGTATGCCAGTGAGTGTGGGTCAGACTTGGAAACATCCTGGAACAGCCCATTAGGAAATGAAACCCTGAACTGAATTATAATTGATTACATTATTAAAAGACGAGTTATTTATCTCCACTGCCCAAAATATGTTATTAGGCAGCTCACATATGAAAAGTGTTGACTTTGGTAGTTAACCTTGGCTCTTGTTTCTTTCATTAGATTAATTTCTCCATTAGAGCTTGTCTCACAAATTGCCTCAGTTTGACCTGATTTAAGAAGAGAAGATGAATGTGTTCCTTCTGCCTGACTGCTTTGCTTTCTGGGCTTACAGTGGTCTGAAAACCTGAGACGGAAAGACAGTTAATGCTTGGTTGTGGCAGCACCTGTGCAGGCTGTTGGGCTGTTGACAAAGTTGGGAACAGTTTGTTTTTTGGATTGACCACAAATCTTCTGTTTTGCTGACCCTCCATCTGGTGAGCGGACTGTGATAACTGAGGACAGGGACTAGGCAGTAAGGCTTTGGTTTGCAGCCCTTCATGTGGGAGGAACATTTCCTTGAGTAGTCATTGGTCCTGCCTGCTCCTCTTGCCTGTTGACACAGTCTTTTGCTGCTGGTGCAACCGACTGTGCAGGTTTTAGGTGACGCAGATAAGGGCACTGACCAATCAAAAACATAACTGAGGGAGGGTGTCTGGAGGTGGAGAGTGTTCCTCACAGGTTATGCAGCAGTGCCTTAGAATCTGTTGCTGTAGGCCAAGTTACGTTGTGTCAGGCTTTTTCTGCTTACACTGAGGGTGGACACGCAGCTGAGTTGCCTTTTTCTGCTGTTACTGAGATATTTGCTTTGGGATGGGGCTGTGGTTGTGATATGCTGGGAACTCTCACAGGAGAGTCTGTGCGCAGTCATGGGGGTAGTGAAAAATGTTTATGGAAATATGGTTTGTTGATCGGGTGTACAGTGGGTGGCACCTTTGGGAGTTGAGGTGAAAGGTCAAATTACTAAGTTTGTTCCACCTATAGGCTGTGAAGTGTTTTGAGAATGAATCCTGATCCACATAAGGGGTATAATTCCATTTTGTCCTTGAATTAATGACAGTTTAAAGTCTGGAGGAAGTGGGAACATTCCACTTATTGCAGGTGTGAATAAATAGAAGAAATTTGCTAGCAGTAGTTGGTAATTGAGCTAGGAACTGTGGTTATCAGAAGTGGGTGTCTGTTAATAGCACAGCTAGGAAGTGTGGCTGTATCTCAGAGTTTACATTTTGAAGGCTCATGGTAATGAAAAATGCTAGCAGCTTAATCTTAAATACAAGAAATCTTATTATTTCATGTTTCTACCAGGAAATATCCTAAAGCAGCCCATTAGGACATGAAATCTTGAACTTATGCATCTGAATTATAATTTTGGTGAACTGTGAAAGTTTATCGTTGTCTGTTTCCCCTTTGGATAGCATTAATTCTTGAAAATGCAGGAAAGGAATAGTGCTCTCTTACGTCTTTGAAACAAAGAAAAAGCCTTTAGACTTCTTAGATGGTGTGATAGAAGGATAATTATGTTTACAAGTTAGATAAAACAGAGAAAGGCTAAATTCTCTGCTGCAGTAATACCGAATTTCAGTATCATTAGAAATAGAGCAGAATTAGGGAATGCCTGCAGGCCTTTTGTGGATTAAAGTCTGAGGTGGCTGTTTGTTTCCTCCTTTCATGAGATTTTTCTCTTAAGCTCTTATCCAATTCCTGATAAGCAGCTTTAAAAAACCTGTTGCATCCTGATATTTTCGGCCTTACTCATTCACTGTAACTGAACTGGTTATGCATCCCTTTCTTCCTTCTCAGATATCTGGGAACCTGCAGATGTCATTTTGGTAAGATAAGGAAAAAATATGTATCATTAAATAGCATCTCGCTGTCTTTTCTTTCACCCTAGGGATAATTTTAGTGCATGACTTAACCAACAAAAAATCGTCCCAGAATTTGTATCGCTGGACTTTGGAAGCACTCAACAGAGATGTCGCTCCAACAGGAGTTCTTGTGACAAATGGGTGAGTGCAAAACATATGTACAGAGTTAAGACACAGTAATTCTAAGCTGTTATGGAAGTCTTTTTTCATCCCTCAGGCTACTTGGAGTGCACGTGAAACTAGATGTGGCTACGCTTCTAAGAAAGGAAGGAAAAAATCGGGAATATCAAAGAAAGTTGCTGTTCTTACTGTTTTGTACTGCCAGTCAGGCCATTCGGACAGTAGATTCCCAAACTGTGTAGCAGAGACCTTGCTTTAAGGGACGAGATTTTTACTGCATCCTTCATTTGCTTGAGGCCTCTGTGAAAGTGGGTCAAGTCCCTGATACCTGAAGACTTCTGTGTCTGCACTGAGATGTGTGCTTATACAGGAAATGTCATGAGATGGCATGTCTGTTCCAGAAGGCTTTCCTTTCATGTACCCAGACTGAGGAAGTTCACTTCATAAATCTTAGGTTTGGGTGATGGGGAAATTTTTTCAGGAGTATGGCTGAAAGAGCTTAAGAAAACTGCTCCATAAGCATGTTCATAATTAGCTTTCCAACATCTTGTCAAGTATTTCCTCCTGTAGCTCTGTGCTCCTCTTATACATGTAGTCAAGGAGGTTTTAAGATCATTGATAGACCTCACACATGAGCAGGAAGGTAATAATAAAGAGTAGCTTTTCGTGGGAAAAACATCAATTATTTATCTGCCTCTGCTGGTACACAGGTGTTTCTGTAGAAATATGGGAGGTGAGAAAGGGGATTTGCATTGTATGAACTGCAAAATTCTCCACTTTTTTCACAGACAGGTTCTTCACAATTGTTTTAATTTTCTAAAGCTTAGCTTCTGTCAAGGACAGGTATTCGGCCACTAGCAATCACTTGGTCAGGTTGTTGCTGTTGGTTGTAAAATTACTTTCCAGAAAGCTTGGTTTGGGTAAAAATGAAAGACAAGTGATTATCCTAGCTGTGGAGAATGATTGAAGCATGGATTTGTGATGACATTTAATTGCAATGTTATTTATTTCATAAAGGCTATCTTTGATCATTTTTCATATCTGAATCAAAACTTGCTGGAATTCAGCTTCTAGTGGCTACCTTTACTTGAATATAGAAGAATTTATAACTTAACACCATGGAATTGTTGTTGCAACCCTCTTTGATCACACATGGAAAAGGGTAGTGTTTCACGGGTGCAATTTATTTCATTGTCCCTCCTTAAAAAGTGTATGTAGGAACTTTAGCTGTTCAGGAATGCCAGCTCCCTGATCTTTCCCTGGTGTCTGCATACGCTCGGTACAATACTGGAGTTCCTGTTCCTTTCCTGCCTATGTCAGTGTTTCTTCTGTGGTTCATCTGTGCTGAGAACAAATCCAACTCGTGGTTTCTTTTCTCTTTCCTTTCAATTCCTGTGTAGTGACTTAGATGCAGAAGCCCTTCCTTAATTAACAGACACAGCACATTCTCACTTAGATAAATCATGACCCCTACTAATTAAATGACCATGTTTTGAAAGGGACAGGGGAGCTGAAGGTGCCCCTGTGCCCACTTACATGGCCATCACCTTATTCAGGACTGTATTTGTTTCCCTCATCAGTGACTATGACCGTGAACAGTTTGCTGATAACCAGATTCCACTGCTGGTAATAGGAACTAAGCTGGATCAGATCCCAGAAACTAAGCGGAATGAAGTTTTGACCAGAACAGCTTTCTTGGCTGAGGATTTCAATGCTGAAGAGATAAATTTGGTTAGTATCTCTGTCACCAGTGTTGTTTTTCTTTGATATGGGAGCGAGTCCAATTTTTAGTAAGTAAAGATGTTGTGACAGAAATTGGGCTTCTGGAGATTTTTGCAGTAGTACCAGAGTCATGCCCATTTTGTTTGGCTGTACCCCTTGCTTGATGAAACAGCCATCTTTGTTTCACTACAGGGAGGTGTAGCGGGTCTTAAATGAGGTCACTGATGCTTTAGAACTGATGCTTTGGAGTTCAGTTTTCTCTTTCTCGCTCATAGTTCTGACACGGACTGCTTTTGAATGAAACATCAAGATCACTTTATATAGATACATAGGTGTAAAAATATGCATGTGCTATGTGAATGCTTGTATGCATACACATACACACACAGGATCTCATGTGTAGCCTGTACAAATCATTATCTGACTGAAATAGCTGGTGATGGAAGGAAGATGTGGAGCACATAGGGAGTTATTTAGATTCTGCAGTTGTTTCACAGAGCAGAAGTTGGCCTTTTCTCTCTAGTGACTTTGGAGCAGAAATCAGCAGATCCACTGTTTTCTGGAGCTGACAGCCTGTGTCAGGGGATAGGGTGTGTTGATTTCCAAGTGTGTGGCTTCTTTGTGTTGACTTCTGTGTGCTTGGTTTGTTGTTGTCTTCTGTGCATTCTAGGATTGCACCAATCCTCGCTACCTGGCTGCAGGTTCATCCAATGCTGTCAAACTAAGCAGGTTTTTTGATAAGGTAAGTCGATTAAATGATGTTTTATCGTCCTGGATATCAAACACTGCCAGTGATTTGAACATGAACAAGAGTTAGCTGCTCCTTTCACATTCCACTTTTTGAGTTGGTTCAGGCCAGGTGTGGGGAGGCCAAAGACTGGTGTGCTTTTGGAACCCTCAGGGAATAGCTGATCTGCTTGAAGATTTGATTCTTGATCTGTATAGAGGAGTGAAAAAGAACTCACAAGTGTGCAAAGACGCTCAGCATATGCTTTTGAAGTTGTCTGGCAGGCTAGAGGGGTTGCAGTGTTCTGAGGCAGTGATGTGGGGAGTTACAAGACTGGTTAGCTCTGTTGATCCTGGTTAAAGCAACCTTTAGGAATTAAGAAATTTGGCAAATTGCTCTCCCTTCCTGAAAGAGAGACCATCAGGGTCCACTGTGAAAATGACAACGAATGCTCTGGTTAAGCATCCCCTGGATATAGCATAGTGGAGCTACCGTGTAGTAGTGGAACCACTACACCTGCCTAGAGGGAATGGGAGGAAGGACTTTGATGCAGAAGGAGACACCCAAACCATCACCTCCATTATCCAGGAGGGCTAACTAAATTAGGTGTGTGGAAGTTGAGAATAACACAGCCCTTCTAAGAATGGCTGGAGGTGGCAACTCCTACGTGTACTAGAGCACTGCACTTAGAACAATAGGCCTGGACCAGGGAATGTGGGTTCAGGCCTTGTCCAAGTTAGCCATGAGTGTCAGTGCTCATGTGTGAAGTATCTGTTGGAATCCAAGGTTATGCATGTGCTGTGCAAGCTAAGATCATTCTCTGTTGTTCCCAGGTCATAGAGAAGAGATACTTCTTAAGAGACGGCAATCAGGTTTGTCATTTTTCCTCCTTTTTTATTTCATTTCTCCCTGTATAATGTGAACTGCTGACACAATCCTCTTTAAAACATGGGTTTCATGCGACTTAAATGGTAATCTGTGCTGGTAATTGAGTTCTTATATCTGTGAGAGCACAGCTAGTTTGGATAGAGAGAAAAATGGCCGGCTTTTGTCAGCTTAAGTATTTGCAATGTGATTGGCAATGAAATACTAAAGTATGCTAACATAGTAAAAGTTGCAGGAGTGAGGTGAAGTGGGCAAATATGATTTCTTTCAGCTGTCAGCTTCTTGGTTGCAGATTTGGGCCAGAAATGCTATCTGGAAGGTCAGTGAAAAGGCTTGTTTTTGCACAGCTGGAACTAGTATTTTATCTTGCACAGGTAGTTTTCACAGACCCAGTGGAGCCACAAGAAAAATGGAAGTTTGATACTGGCTTGTAATTCATTCCTAAATGACTGAATTTAGTGTTTTTAGCACAGTTGGTGAAGAACTACAAAATGACTTCTGGTTTGGGCAAGCCACTTCAACTTCTCCTGTCCCCCACCTCCCCACAGAGAGTAGTGAGGTTACACTTGCCATATCTGTCAGGTACTTGCAAATTACCATGAATAGCATCACTAAAATACAGTCAAATGTATCATTAGAGGTAGCTGTGCTGAAAGCCCCTTAGGGAGAGCATGGAAAAAAATAGTCACAAATTACAAAATGCTTCCTTTCTTTAAGCAATTTTTAGTGCCTTTTAAAAATAAACTTGCTCTTGCCTCTTTCAGTTCAGCATGATGTCTTTTTTTCCCTCTCCTTTCCCCTCCTCTCCACATTCTAGTGAAAGGAAGTTTCCCTTTCATGGGGATAATAGCTTAATGCAGAAATCTGCTTGTGTGGCTGGTTGTCTTTGATGCATAATGTAAGATTTTTACTTTTCTTATTGGATCATATTTAGTGGCTAGCCAAGGATTAACTATATATTCCTTATGGCTGTGTGCCAGACATTACAGCCTGCTGATGACTATTTTCATCTACTTCACTGACAAGAGCTCAAAAGCTTAAAACAAATATTAAGCAGTGGGCAGTTATGTTTAAAGAGAAAAATCCAAATTGGAAATGGAGGTTTGAATATAACCTCTTAGTGTTACTATTTGAAATTATCTACTTAATGTAACTCTTACCAGTGTGTGGGTTTTCTACAATAGGTTGCTTCGATCATTCGTGTTTTGAGGTATTTCTATTATAGACTTCTTCAGGATGAAAAGAATGATAAGTTTCAAATTGTTCACAGCTATAACTTCAGTCAGATCTCTGATAAATAAATAATTGTTGCTCTTAATCAGCGATTTTTATATAAAAATGCTGAAGCAGAAAACTTTTTACCTATGGTCCAACTACTTTTTAGTTTTAATGATTCTCTTTTTTAAATTCCCAAAGCAGTTTTCCTGAGATGAGCCTTTGTGCAAAATCTGCCTGATTTTTCCCTTAGAGATGATTGCTTTTCAGAGATGAATAAAACAATACTTCAATGAACACCTTGCATATGTGTTTGAGTTTGGGATCTGAAAACCCTAAGTAAATTAAGTTGTGGAGTTCTTAGTGGACTTTTATTTTGGAAAGCTCTTCAGCTTTTTCAGTTTAGCAATGAAGTGTGTAACCTGAGCAGTCTACTTTGGATTGTAAAATGCATTTTTGTCCCATACTGTCCATACCTGCCGATGTTCTCCTGGCGTGATTTGTAGTGCTTAGTTGGCTGTACCCAACAGTTAACACCTTCCATTTTAATATATTCTATTTCTTGTGGAAGCGTAGAATTGTTTTGGGAGGATGTGTTTACTGGGTCTGCTCTTTCTGCTTGTGTGTAGTTAGTAAGCTGAAAGTTTACTACACTGTAATCAGTTTTATGATGCCAATAGGACAGATACCTTATGCAGTATTAGAAGGCAGTGCATCACTTTCTTTTGGAGATTCATGGATGCATTGAATTGAAAATCCGTCCGAAATACTGTTAAACCAGAGAAGCCTCTGATGGTTTCAAGGAGATTTTCTTTGTAAACATCCATTGTCACGGTTGTAAGTGGTATCTACAGATCGGCTGCAAAAGCAGGAGTCCTAATCCTTTGTATTGTTGCAGCCGTTTCTATTCTGACAGTTTTCTTAAAGCTTTCAGCATTTGATAAAACTGAGCTTTAAACTGCCAGTGAAGTGTTGCTGTCCCAGGTTTGAAGGCATAAAACCTCGGCAGCTCTTTAATAGGACTTGATTGTACCGTTTGATAGTTTTAAAAATGAATGGAGGAAAAGTTCTTGTGTGCATTTGAATCTGGGGGGAAATACAGACTCTGAAATCTGTAATTAACTAGTTTAGGATTTGCCTGAGAAATTAAGGCTTTCATTGTAACCCTTGCCAAAAAAGCCTTAAGGAATACCATAGAACAAATGAGCCATACTCAAGTTGTGCAGTGTTTAATTAATGGTGCTCCTCTAGCAGCAAGCTGAAGCATTGTAGTCCTGACTGTGGAGATGGTGTGGAAGAGGATACTGCAGTTGGCTTGGTAACAGGCACTCAAGTGTGGGGTAGAGAGAGCTCATGCTGATTCTGACATGGCAACTTATCTTCCCTGTCTTTAGATTCCTGGCTTCTCTGAAAGGAAAAGGTTTGGAGGAGGAACACTGAAGAGCCTTCATTATGACTGAACACTGAGGAAGTGGAAGATGACTTCTCTGAGTTCCTAATGACATTCCCATTCCAACTGGATGCTCAAAGATAATGTTTATGTCAAGCAGAGTAAAATATTACAACTGGCTAGCCTGCTGAAGCTGCTATTGTTGGAAAAGACTTGGGGAAGGATTTCCAGAAACCTAATCTGAAGCCTAGAGTCTTTCTTAGGATTGCAGGCTGTCCGGATATATGGGAACAATTGGGGAAAGTGTGCAATAAGTTGAATATCTCTCACTGCTGTGGGAAACTTTATGCACAGCACGTCTGTGTGATATCTTTCTCTCCATTTTGGGAAACTTACGGACAGTTTTTGCAATGAATTGCATTCATTTTACCTCTAAAGGAAAGGTGACACTGAGTGGGCTTCACATTTACTGTAAAGTGAACAACTTGGGTAAGAAACGGTCTGGAAACTAATGGAATGCCTTCATTAAATGAATGGTGTTGTCTCACCTGGAACACACTGTTCATCCTATTCAAAAGGGAAAAAAGAAAGGCAATATATGAAGAAAAGGTTTGAAGCATTAAAAAAAGAAAATCGTTAGCAGAAAAGAAGTGGTGTTAATTCTGCTGCTTGAATTAAAATTGTTTACTTGGAGAGGGCAAAGTGAATCAGGTTTTTGTCTTTTCATAATTGACTGGTCTTGTTCTTTATATTAAATTAAAAAGCAATGCTTTGAAAACTGATGGGAAAGGTATGTTTTTATACAGTGCTTATTTGGAACAAATGTGACGTGGTCTTTCTGAGCCTGAGGGCTAAGTGGATTCAGAAAACATGAAATGTAGGAACATCCTCTGAATTAGAATGGATAGAAATTTAGAAGTGATATAAAGCTGTGTAAAAAATAGGTACTGAGCATGATTATAAGGAAAGTTCTGCAATACAGATGTTTCCTTTACATATTTAGCACTAAGGATAAAGGAGACTTTACCTGGTCTGATCTATTGTGCAAGCTGTTGTCTTCCTAAGTAGCCCAAGCTTTGCATGGTTTCTCACCTCCCCAGAATAATGCGGAGTAGTAAAAGCCTGATTTATGTCAATTTCTACTTTCAGCTCCTTCCTCACAGTCACCTCTAATGGTTAAGCCTCTGGCAAAGGCTAACTAAGAGCTGGAGCTAGGTATAAATAGAGATTAATAATAAATGGGGATAGAAGAAAGTAAAATGCTGGTGTGAAATTGGCAGGGAGCAGAGTTCTGCAGACTCCAGATTACCTCTGCCTGCAGCCCTTCTAGCAGCTGCTAGGAAATAAGTGGAAAACTGCCTATTGCCACTAATCAGGCACAAAAGTGACAGCTAGGTGCACCAGTCAGACTAACTAAAAATATGGATACCACGCTTTTCCTTAGGCCATTTCCAGAAAGGTCTTGGAACATTTGTAAACATGAGTGCAGTAAGTTTTTAGATGCCTGTATGAAATGGGTTCCTAGTATACATTTAGTTTACAACCAGAAAAAAGAGGGTACCAAAATATTAATAGTAAATAACCTATGTTATGCAGCTCATGACAGCACCAATGTCTCTGTAATCCTTTGACAATGAAAATTATTTTTTCAAGGTCAAGTGCTGTCCTAGGGTAACCAGATCTGAGCTCTCTCAGGTTCCTAAGGAATTGCAGAGCAGAACAAGCAAGCTAGCACTATTTCTTCCCTCACCCTCTGGCTTCTTTAGGGGAATCTGGAAGTGTTGCAGAGTAAGGGAGGCCAATTTAGTGTAAAATGTTGCATTAAGAGATGGTTGCAAAGGTCTTCGATTTGGAGGCGGGGGCTTTCCAAAGTAGCCCTCTTCAAGTAATCAGAAAGGAATATAGCTCAGCATGCTGTAGAGTGGCCAAAGCCCTGGTTGCAGCTCTCCTGTTTGTAGGTTTTAAAATAGGCCTCTAGTACAGATGAAGTATTTTATTAGTTTCAATCTTGGCAGGTAACTACAATTAGGTATATTTTTTCTTTTTAGGACAAGGTGATGTGTATTGGATTCATGCATGCTGATGTTATATTTATTTTTACAGGAAGTCCTAGCTCCTTGTCAGAACCAGGAGTGTGTGAGCAGCCACTTAGATTCCTTTTTGAATCTTGCCTGTGTCAGCTGCCCAAAAAAAGTTCACTTCCAAGCTTGGGGCTGTGACACCAGACCTTCCTGTGTCACACTTACTCTGCCCTCTGGTTTCCCCTTTCTTCCTGTTTTTCTCTGTTTCCCTGTGCCATGCTTTGTCTTTCTTGCTGTACCACTTAAAGTCTCTGTCTCTCTGTTTTCCTGCATCTCTCCTTCTGTCTGTCTTTGGTGTCTGTCACAGGCACACACATTTGGCATCAAAACATTGTTACTCACTCCCTTTAAATTCAAGATACTTGATCTGTGTTATTTCCCAGGCAGACATATGTACCAGAGGTGTCAGTGAAGATGGCTCGTGCAGGTACATGTGAGACGTGTTAGACCTCCCATGCACAGGCAGGTGAGATGCAGAGTAAATAAACAATGAGCCTCCACTCTTCCCAAGGGGCTCGGCAGAGCTTTCTGGTTGATCTATGACCACTTTGGTGACTGGGGGGATAGTGAGAAGCACAAATATGTCCTAAATACTGAAAGCCCACCAGATCTGCCCCTCTGGATTTCCGTGCAGAAAAGTAGGAAACCTGTGTGTACAGTAACCTTACGTTCTTGGGTAATACATTTTTGTCCTCATAGCAGCAGGCTTGCATGCTCCTTGCAGCCATCTTTATCAAAGGTGCCGCTGGCTTTTTAAGGATGTGAAACCTATCCAGTAATGGGGTTTTGGGTGCAACCTTAATACCAATTTTCATTATTGATTATATTTTCAGAGGCAACTGCAGCATGCTCCATTTGTCACAAATGAGATATGAACTGCTGTGTCGTAGCTTGCAGTCAATATCGCTCAGGTATGGTAAAGTCAGGGCTTGAATTCTCATTTCTCAGTGGATAACAAGGTGACAGCTTTCAGTGATCGAAAACCTGCTTCTGCTTTTCAGCAAAGGGAGCTTAATCCTTCTATTTCTTTTGTTAGTCAGCTCTTCCTATTAGAAGTCATGTTCCCGTCTCACTTTTGTTAGGAGGTTACTTTGATTCCTTTATAGGGTTGAGCAAGTCTGTGACTTAGTACACTAGTTTTCTTCGACAAAAAGCCATTATCAATATTGATGAACCTGTCACTGGCTGGCAAGTAACCAGAAAGCTCACAGAGGTAAAGCTTTCCTCAGGGTGTGCTTCGCTGCAGCGCTGTGCGTTAGGTCCTCAGACACACACTGGTTTTGGAAAAGAACACATAGATATCAGGTGGAAGAGGGGAGGGAGAATAAAACCAGTCCCACTTTTCTTTAATTTCAAGTGTCCAGTCAATGCCAAAGCTCTCCTACCTAGTGAGGGCCTGTGACATGTAGCCAGAAGTAGTATTCTTAGTATTATCCACTTGTGCTACTGTGGGTTTATTCTAACATGTGATCAGTAAGTGGGAAAAACACATTTCTTTTTGGTACATGAGGACCCAATGCAGAAGTTAAAAAATTGAGTCTTCATCACTAATTGTGGTTATGTGAGCAGTGTAAGGGCTTTCCAGTTGTGCAGGCAAAGCTGCAATAAACAGTGATTCTCAGGACCTAAGTCTAAATGGACCTTTAAATTAGATGTAGTTCCCTAACAGTGAGAGTGATGATGCCTGGAACAGGTAATGGATAAAAGCAGATTTGTCAGTGTTTGGGGCTTTTCGGGGTAGCATTAGTAGCATTCTGAAAGACGTGCCTTAGCACAGCTTTGAGTAAAGTCCCCCAGCATACTTGTGAGGAAGGTGGTTTAGGTGATCAGAGCTATCTGTGGCAGCAAAGAGACTGTGAAATCTAGCTTTGGCAGTTCATCTGCTTAGCCAAACCCTGCTGCAAATACCATTGGCTACAGAAATGCGTTTTCTTTTTCCTGCTTTGGCATTATATCACCAAGATACAGCTTGTGCCCCTCAGGCTTATCAGTGCACAGAAATTCTGGTTCCATACCTCTTGAAATTGCACAGGGAAATTTATTCTCGGCATACCAGCACAGACTTCTCTCAAAAAGATGTTGAATACAAGACAAGCTCATAAATAAAAACACATGCTCATAAATAAAAACACATGCTCTTTCTTAACTAGATCAACCAAATGAAGTCTGTGCTGTGTGGGCAAACCAACCAGAAATTCAGTCATACTTTTGACTATGAGGAGCATGAAGTGAAATAGTGAGTGATTAACCCACACACATCTACGTTCTCTTTGACCTGAAAGTTAATGTTCACAGAGTGGAAATGCAGTGCTGGCTTTGAGTTAAAGATTTATTAAAGGACAAGGATGCCCAGTAGCTTTGAAGTCTGGGACTATGTTCAGAGCTTTTATCTCGCTGTCTTATGCCATCTGCTCTTCCTGAGGCTTGTTCTGCTGTGGCTTATGTGGGTTTGATGGCCTGTCCTACCCTTGAATAAAAGGTCAGATGGCAAAATTCAGTTACTGTCCAAAATTAGCACCCTCTTTAGCTGCTGCACCAGAGTGGAGAAGGAGAGAACAAGGCACTATGACTAAATTTTCTTCTGACTCCTAGAAGTGGTGTTTCTGGCCTGAAGGCAGAAGCATCACAGCAAGGTGAGCAGGTGGCTTCTCCTGCCTCTATTCATGCAGCATCTGTTTTCTGGCAACAAGGAGTGTGTGCTTTCTGCTGCAGAGAACTTTTATGATCTTTCCTGCACAAATAAATGATAATAATTAACCTGTCTGGCATCTCCTGCTGGACAGTCCCAGAAAAATGACAAGGACATATTTCATAAGAGCCACTCTACAGGAAAGTACATGTTATTAGAAAGAGCCTTTTTCGACACTTTTGGCAATGATAAAAAAAGCATAAATATTATTGACAATTTCAAAAAAATATTAAATCCCCTGGTACTAAGTACCCTATCAGATAAACAAAGATAGCTGCTCTAGAGAGCTATCCCTTTTGGCAGTGTGTAAAGGGTTAAACAGAAAAGAGATGCAAGTTGGGGAAGCAGAGATCACAGAGACAGGAGTGAATGAGGATATTAATAAATATGTACATCAATGAATGCATTTTAGCTGGACAAAGATAGGCAAGAGAAGAGGTTGGTTCCTTTAAAAACAAGGTGCATCACTGTGAAAAGCAGCAGGCCATTGCAGCAGGAGGTTTACAGCTGCCTCAGAAAGGCTCTGTTTCTCAGTGGCCTCTTCAGTACGTTGTGCATGGGGGCAGAAGAGCTTTACTTCTGGGTCTGGACAGGGACTCACTGCAAGAGGCGATGGTGAATTGTGATCCAGCAGTTGTACTCACTACAGCACAGTGGCAGATTACAGCCCATGCTGGGAAGTGCTGTGCTAAGTATTGACGAGTATAAGCTGCCTCAGCTTCTCTTTGAAAAGAAATCTTTTCCATTCTTTTCCTCATCCTTCATTCACCACAGAGATGTCGAAGACCGGCTGCTAAATTTTCAAACAAGCCTCTTGGTACTTTCATTCTGCCACTCTGTCGCAGATGAGCTCCTTGCACACCTCCATCAAGATGCCCATGAGAACAGTCCACAAGTAATAAGCTGCTGGTATGCAGGTACCATCCAGTTGCATATATATCATGTAGCAAGTGCAGTTGCATTGATGTCTTATGCTTTTTTTATGTATCTCTTTTGGGTCTTGTTATGTCTTTCATCTGGAATCTCCTTGGAGTAATGGTGAGGTAAAGCCATGCACTGGATAAAATGTCATAAACCCAGAAATGTAGCTGAGAAGACACTGAATGCTTTTAATGCTCATTCTTCCAGGCTTAATTTGTTGTGTTTATGACTCATGTTTATGCAATAACAATTCATTGTGTTTCTGTGTTTCATATTTACATGATAACTAAGGCAGTTGCTAAAATATTAATGAAGTACATCTATACTTAATGTTATATAGGATTTATATTCAAGAGCTACTGCAACAAACTAAAGGGGTTGTTTAAGCTAAATCACAGAACCACTGAGGTTGGAATTGACCTCTGGATATCTAGTCCTAGCCACCTCTTTGAGCAGTGTCAGCTGGAACAGGATGCCCATGACCATGTTCAGATGGGTTTTGAATATCTTCACAGTTGGAGAATACACAGCCTTTCTGTGCAGCCTATTCCAGTGTTTGACCACCACTTAATATTCCCATTTGTGGCCAAAAAGGAAAGTCCATAGAACTACAGGGCAGTCAGTGTCACCTTCCTCCCTGAGAAGGGATGCTTCAAGGCAGCTAAACCTGGAAAACATTTTCACATACATGAAGAACATGATGATAATTTGGAGTAATCAGCATGGATTTATGATTTCCCTCTTAAATGGTATGGGCTAGATCAGAAACACATTAAGATTTTTTTTCTGTATTTCATTTAATGTAGAGGTCAATAAATGAAGTGTCAATTTAACAGTACCTTACTAAATAATGTTTTTCCCTGTATGGAATGGAATGGAATGGAATGGAATGGAATGGAATGGAATGGAATGGAAAAGCAAGGTTAGACAGCCTAATGAGCTTTAAAACATTACATGACCGTCAAGTGAGTAAAGTGATAACACCTGGTCCTTTTTTAGGAAACAAGAACAAGCAGGAAGTAGGTCTATCCATACTTAAAAAGCAACACCTTTATTTTTACCTGTTCCACAAGAAGAAAACAAGAGAACAGGGCCTGTAAAGAGGTGTGAGCAAGGTGAAACGTAGGCTCTCAAAGGGGAATGTGAGCTAAAATGTAATATTACCTCTCCTGCTGCGTGGCTCAGTAGAAAGGGATCTTGGAAACCCCTGAAACTTTGCAACTCCAGGTTGCAAAACTGCAGTCAAATGTGTAATTCTTCACTGTCAGAAAATAAGTGAGGTGAACTTTTTACTCTTAAATATTGTCTGGTAGGAAAGGAGTCTCAGGGGTAGGTGACAAGTGCCAGCCACTTTATTTCTTTGGCAGTGATGAATCACTGCTCAGGGTGAGCTAACATACTCACAATCTCTGCCCTGTGCTGGAGAATTCCTCACTGCTGGTGTGGTTTTTTATGGCAAAACTGGAAGAGGCCAGGGTATGAAGAGAGTCTTCCTGGCAAGCAGGAATGGAGACCTAAAGACCTAAACTTGGAAATTACTCAGTCTATAGTCTTCTAGAGCCAAGGAAAACTAGCTCTCCCTCTCCCCAATCCATAACCACTGTTTCTTCATACCCATCATCTTCTCCCTTGTGGCAGCCAGCCTATTTTGCCAGCATTAAAAAGTGGCAGCTCCCAGTGGCTCTAATGTACTGCTCAGGATGGTGTGAGGAGGTGCCCATTTTTAGAGAAGCCAAAATGATTTAAGACCTGGCTATCTTGCAGCCTGAGCTCTCGCTGGCTGCAGTGGGGGTCACATGAGCTGGTAACTGCTTTGGGGAGGGAAGGCTTCCAGGATATTCTGTGAGAGGAGGAGATACTGGGTCACATTCAAATTTCAGTGTGTGCCTCCTAGAAGTTTCCTGCTGGCAGGATGTATGGTAGAGCAGGTGATGGAAAGGGGAAAAAATACTGCTTTTTCTTTTCTTTTTGTTTGAGGGGGTGAAGGGGGCAGGGAAGTTGAGAATTCAAAGTAAAAAGAAAAAAAATCAAATAAAATCAATTGTGGTTTTTTTCCTGCAACTTCTGGAAATGCAGAGCTACTTTCATTAGTATTCTGTAGCTAAATGCTTGCTGTTGCTTCTTCCTCAGCAACAGCTTTCTTGAAAAATATTAATATTTCAGAATTTGTAAGTTCCCCTCACTAGCTCTAATCACAGGAATACAAAATCTTCCCCTACTTTTGGCCCCAAAATGCTGTGTAATGTTGCCACACAGTGTTTCATAAATACTACTACCTTCACCAGGATGGGGATGTGATCCTTTCTATCCCAGTTGTAACATGGCTCAGGAAAAATAATGAACAAATTTTTGTTACACATTTAGAGGGTTGTGTATGAAAATTGCTAGATATAATACAAGAAAGAAGGTTATAAAACATTTCTAAATACTTTGTTCTAAATACCTTGTCCTTTCCCCCTCCCCGTGTGTGGGAACTATGGCCCCTTTTTTTAAAATCTATGGGGAACAGGAATCGTGAGGAAACCCAGTGCCTCTCACCCCCCCCTTTATTATCTTCAAATCGATCCTGGGGTTGGTTCTGCAGAGAAGGGCCGGCGTTTGGTTAAACACACACCGGGTTGGGCAAACAGGTTGAAAATTCCCTTGGACTTTCTCACTTGCAGCACTGTCAGCCTGCCTCCAGCCAAGCTCAGCTGACCAGCGAGCAGCCTTTGCTTGGCAGGCTGCTTCAGCCAGATACCTGCTTGGGGTTTGTGTCTGCTCCAAGAGGAGGACAATCAGAAGGACGATGACGGGCCTGCAGGTAAGAGGTCAGGTGTCTGCGCTGGCTGTGGACATCCCTCTGCTCACACTAATTTTTTGCAGTCAGTTTCATTGTATTTTGCCCCTCTTTTGTGGGTCAAGGTGTGTTTTTAAAGCTTTCTTGGGATAAAATATTTTGCTGTGTTTCTCTCCCTCTTCACCCCCTTTAGAAATCATTCTTGGTCAGGCTGTCCCAGCACAGGACCTCTTCATGGTGGGAGTTGTCCTTCCTCCACCCTCCATGCGCACTCCTCCTCCCACCCTGGTGCCAGGGGGGTGTTTCCCCCTCAGCCTATGAAATCTGACTGGCAACATCTGCCCAGATGTTGCAACCCTGACAGCCATCTTCCCCAGCAGCCCAGGGGAGCGACTCCATTCAGGGCAACTTCTTAGTACCCCTTGCAGGACACCCTGGCACAGTGAGACTCTGGCCGTGCTCTCCTCTCTGAGCCCCAGCAGGGCAGCTGGCAGGAGCCTTCCCTTCCACCATTTGCCAGAACAGGGGGGAGTTTTGGGAGAAGGATGTGACATGGTGGGCTTGTGGCTCATGGGTAGGAATACAAGACTCTCAACCCTGAATCTCATCCGCGCCTGGCAGTTGTTGTGGGGGACAAACCACCCCAGGGCTATCAGAGTGCACGAGTAATGCTGCAGCAGGCAGGAGTGGCAAGACCTCACCCCAGGACATGGTGGGTCTCAAGAGCTTGTGCAGGATCATCATGTTTCAACCCAGACTTCAGGGCTGTGACTGTTACTAAGCCCTGGATACGCCTGGGATACTTGTATGTGCTCTTTCACCACCTTCAGTGATGCTCATTATCTCACATAGGTTACAGGTCTTCTTATTCATCTCTGAAAGAGTCCTGTCTCCTCATACAGGATTTCACCCTGCCTCTTCCTTGCCTGTCCATAACACCTCCCTGCTGTCGCCATCCTCTTTCAGCAGCAGGGCAGCCTTGCCCCTGTACCATTCCAGATGAGGGTCCAACTGGTTTATGTCACGGTTGTGACAGTGTCTTCCGTGCCCCTCTTTGACTCATTCCTAGCAGCCCCTAACACCCTGTTGGCCGGTGTGACTGTGGCTGCAGGCTGAGCGTGGGTTTGCCCAGAGCTGGCCATGAGAACAGGCTGCTCTGCCAGCAACTCCTCTCTGAGACGTCATACGTGTCCGTGCTCTGTCATCACCTCTCCCCACCCTGCCTTCTCTTGGCATCTTTCCTCCAAAACTGTCGCCTTATCCTTCCTCTCCGCTCCTCCTGTCATCCATCCCTCTCTTCCATCATCCACCGAGTTCCATGTCCCACCTTGGAGCTGAGCAGGTCCTTTCAGGAAGGGTCTGTCCCTGGACCATCTCCAGCACTTTTAGAGCAGAGAGTTGTTGAAATGTCAGGGGAGATGGCATCTTCAGCTGGGGATGTTGGCCCTTGCAGCACCAGGGCAGGGCTCCGACTTGTGTGCTTTGGTTTTAGGCTGCAAAGAGGCTGTGGAGACCCACACAGAGGGTAAGACCTGCTTTGCCCCAAATGCTCATGTCTCTGTTTCTGCATGTTTGTGTTAAATGCTCTAGCTTTGACTGGACTGAGCTCATACATCTCTTGGCAAGAGATGAATATTGTTTTCCTGTGTCCTGCAGCAGGAGCTGATTGAGAAATGTATTATGCAGTGTTTGAAGAAGAGTCTTAATTATTTTGCTGACTATGTGTTCAGACTTCAAATGTGTTTTTCCCATGCCTGCTGTCTAATTTGCTGAACAAAAGGTTATGGTTTATAGGTCAGAGCATGACACCCATTGCGAGCACTTTGCTTCGCATCCTGGTTATTCCAATCAATGAGCTTTGCTGAATTTTTTATGCTGTGCTGGGCTTTTATCTCTCTCATTTTATTGAAAAACTACAGAACAAAAACCAAAGTGGAGTCAGATGAATTCCTAAGGCCCTGTTGGCATAAAAATCTACAGGATCTTGAACAAAATAACAACAGTAATTAAAACCAGAAGTGAAAACAAAGAGCCACAGGGAACATTTTGTCTAACAGAGAAACCACCTGCCCAATTACCACAACAGTGTCCATGAACCTACCCAACCTGGAGATACCTAAAACATAGCTAGGAACTGTGGAGGCCAGGCAGAGACCTAGAGGGAGATCCCTTTGGATTACAATCATGATGCCACTTTGTGGAGAAGGGTTGGTTTCTGTCTTTCCAGATCTTTTTCACCTAGGAGGGATGATCTGGTGCAGGTGCTAGTGCAAGGGGTCATTTCCCTTGGCTTGGGGGCACCTTGTGCAACACAAACTGAGAGGGGGGAGGTGGGTTCAGAGGGTCATCAGGAAGAAGGGGCATGATGTGCCTGGCCTTTTCACTGCTGCTCCTGACCATCCTGGATCAGCAGGGCTCCTGCATGGTGCTCCAGAGCCCTGGAGCATGATCACTCTGATGCAGGCAGAAAGCTGCTGCAGCGTAGCTCTTTGGCAGCCCAAGTAATATTTGGCACCAACCCCTATGAGCACATAGAGGAAAGAAGCCTCTCTGAGGTCTGCCATGGGGAAAGACAAAATAAAGCTGAGGGAATGAGAAAAGCCACAACGAACATCCAGGCAAAGCCCTGGAGCCACACTCAGGGTGATAAATCATCAGCAAGACATCTACCCTCCCGCAGCTGCAGTCCTGCCAATGTCTTTTTTTCAGCCCTCGATGCAGTTACCTGAGAATTTTATTCTTTTTCTTGGCAAGAAAGAACTGATTTGACCAAACAATGATGCAGCAGCTTCTGCCACCACGCTCAAGGCAGAAGGGCGCTGCCACCCCCTGCAGCCCCAGTGCTGTGCAGCTGAGGGAGGCAGCAGCTCTCTCCCAGTGGGAAGCTGTCTCCTGCTTCGCTGCACTGGGGCAAGGTGCTGTGCAGCAGCAACGTGGGCACGGAGCAGCTACTGTCACAAAATGCTTGCTGCTCAGGTGGTTTTCTTTCCTTCCCCTGGCCCAGCAAGAAAAGGGACTTTTGGGGATGTGGATGGGCAACCCAGATGTGCAGGTCACCA